TATAAAACTCAAACTTACATCAACTGTGCACTGAGTTACCGCTGAACATTTCTCACTGTATTATCTTTTTGTCTGGAATGAATTTCAGATTTATATGATAAAATCATTTCGCCGTGCCACGAGTCGAATGCATTTTACTCATTATGGCACATAAAACGTTGAAATTGTTTCCATGTATACCTATATATTCAAAGGTGTGGATCAACAGTAAAGATTACCGGTTAGTAAATGAATGGGTGGATGAAGACAGGTAATCTATGTGTCAGTGGATGAATTATCTTATAGTGGCCTCATATGTATTAAATACACATTTAAAAAAAAAAAAACAACGATTTCAAAAATGTCACAACGACAGAAATTTCCATTCTGGGGATGATTATTCTCGAGAAGATTGCAGTCAATGTACAATTAAAATCCTGAGATTAACCAGATTTTTGTGCATTTGTTGAAATGCGTTCACATAATAACTGCGTAACTTCCTTTTCTGACAAAGATGTAGCGTATTTATTTTACTTTTAGTTTATTCGCAATCACTTTGATCTTTGCAAGTTTTATTTATTGCTGTTGAAACTATAATAGATATAGATAGTTTTATCTTCTCAGCACATCCACCTGTAAGACTCTACCTTCTGCTTTTCCATTCCATCAGCAACTAATCTATCTATCTATCTATCTATCTATATATATATATATATATATATATATTATTGGATTATGTCGCGAGATACACTTCTAAAAGTTGTTTTAAACTGTGCGACTGTCGAATCTATTCATCAACAAGATTTGAACAAAACTGACAGCAAGAATTGCATGGTTTTCATTATTTTCACTTTTTAACCACTGAATATATTTACATTTTCCGACTATACGGTAATATTCCACAGATCTAATTGGCAAAGTTGGGTCTTGGAACTTCACAGCTAGATTACTTCTGCTTATCCAAAATAGATCTACATTTTTTCCCCTTTTGCTGGTAGATACACTATGCCTATGCTAATAGTATAGTCAACAAAGCTAGAGCAATGATAGTGTGAGAATTGCAGCGAATGATATTGAAAACTAAATGAAGTTTTAAAACGATTTTTCCACTTCTTTCATAAAAGCTTTGTTTGTTTGCAGTAGTAATGGTTGCTTACTCAGAATTTTTCTCACAACTAACTTTTTAATTATCATTTTTCTCATTAGATATTGACATTCACTAGGCTGCACTGAGGTCAAATGATCTTGACAACTTCAAGGAATCATTCACTAGACTGCATTGAACAGCTACTACTTTTAAGCCTAAAAGTGTTTACGGAAAATATTCATGGCATTCAATTACGATGTGTTTGAAGTCATATACTCTGGATACTTCCTTTGGTTGCGATTTAAATGCAGTTTCTCTCTCTCTCAGAAGTTGCTATTGAAATCCTCTTCCAACTTGACCTCATATTTAATGAAATCTACAGACGAACATCGGCCGGCTAAACGCACGGTCATCAGACAGCAGCTTTACGTTTGACTAAGGATATTAAAGTATCAATGAATGAAGAATTACTTCTCAACTCTTGTTCATCGATTTAAACAAAATTTCCAAGTTCGGTACTAATTTTGGAATTTAATAATATTCCAGAACGAATCTAAAATGCGTTCGAATCTACATCATCCTGTTTATACTGTTAACGTTGCAAAAAATATTCTACATTATTTTTTCTCTCACGTTTTTTTGAATTAGTGAATTGGTTAAAAATTAGTGCGGCAAAAAGATTTGCAATCAATTTTCCAGTTTCGGAAAACTGTGGGAAAAAATTAATGCGAAAAAATTTTTTTGATATTTTGAAATAAATTGCATGCTGATATACTGATATATTGCACGCCATTATCAGTTATAAAGTATTTTCAATACTTTATATTACAAACAGTTATGAAGATACGAAACACGAACATAGATCGCTTTTATTTTGTAACATCTGCTATCACGGTTTTGTGTTTCATAGTCGTTTTGTTTCTCAGTAACACTGATGACAAAACACAAAACCGTGACTATCAACAAGGTAAGCATTGTATCCAACTTGTCTCATTTCGCATCTCCTTGCAGTTAACTCATTATCACTCTTGTCACTCCTTTTACGTTCCCATACCCGTAGCAGAAATGTTCCCTCAGTACTGTTATCTCTAGCAATCCTGTCTATCATTTTTCTGCTTCTCCGTCCTGTACCTTACTGATCTGATAGCACAAGCGTCCTTTTTATTCTAGAAAGTCAGTAGTAATACTGTCTGGAGTAGCGCAAACGGAATCATCCAATAGCTGCTACTACAAATCTTTTTGGAGAGAAAAGATAGAGAAGCGAGCCTAGTCCGGGAAGTCTTATTGAATAGTCGGAATCCTTTGTGTAGATGCAGAGTTTGAACAGACGGGGAAGAAAATACAATGGCAGTGCGATAGGCGCTAAAAAAGATTAAAGATAATCGTGTGCGTAACAGACGGCTTAAAATTTATAGAATAGCACAAAAGCGCATTCTGGTGCTGATGCACAGCAGCAAAACTAATTTCCAGAAAAACCAGAAGAATCTTGGATAAATGAACAATCGAAATATTGAAGGGAGAAGTGGGAGAAATGCCACCACATACATCCTTCATTCATTCATTCTATTCTCCTTCATCACACCTCGCAAGAGTGCTGGTGACGCTCGTAGGAGTGCTGGTGACACCGTTCGATTTCGTCCAGCACTGCTGCGCTTTGTTTCTACTCACAAGTGCACCAAGTACTCTGAGCTGCTGTTAGTAAAATTTATTTGGCATTCCGCGGATTTTTCATTTACTAAAATTTCCTCCCATTATTATGTACTGCCATCTGGTGGTTTTATTCCTTTCTTTCTACTTTTCATTCAAATTCACTTCAGTGTCTCTATTTTGCTTATTCACACTTAATAGCTGAATGCTTTAGTGCATTTTATTGAAAGATCAATCGAATGAAGGCAGAAAGGAGCAACATTAAAAGTGTAATTTTTGAAAATTACACTGAGAAAGCAGAGAATTCCGATAGTGGATGAACTCATTTATTTCAAAATAATCAAAGATTTGGCCTATCAAAAGTTAAGAACTTTTTGTTGAAAAATTTCATTTTTTTGGACTGCAAAAAATGGTTTAGAATGAGATTTATCAAATACTTCTATGAGATATCTATCTAATAAACTTTTAATCTCTCTCAAAAGCTTTTGCAAAACCATAGCATATTAAAGCCTTTGAAATAAACCTTCTCTATTTTACGCTCTTCAAACGATTCGCGAAGTCTTTCTTTTTCAGATGCATAAGTCCCTGTTTCTATTTATCTCGAAATAACTTCATGAATTTCGACTCATAGACTAATTATCACGTGTGAATGACTGTGCAAAAGCTATACTACCGAAGTTTGACTTTGGTAAATTTAAGCAAAAAGCGAAAGGTGAGGGCCAGGCAGCATAAAATAAACAGGCCTAACGGAATGTGCAATGTTTTCTTTGCAACAACGAGAACTTCATAATTACCGTCAAAAGTACAATATAAATTCCCAAAAGTATGTTAATTTTCCAATCGGTTCAACTTGAAAGGTTCAAAATTTTTGGAAAGAGAATTTTGAAAAGGTTTCGAGTTTCCTGTACATTTCCTTTTTCATTTGATCATTGAACTTGACAAATAACAAATGTATATTATTTGCATTCCCCATTGTGAAATATTGTTTGTCGTTTTGTTTCTTTCAAATACATTTGTTTCTATAAGAAACACGTCTCTCGTGACACGTTCCCTTTTTGTTCCAAAAATTAGACTAATTACATTCATCTACTTCTACAGTTTTCGAAGATGATCAGTTTATACTCCGTAATGCATCTTTTATGCAGTTTAAATTAAGTTAAAATTTAAAAAGATGAAAAAACAAAATTAATTCATAGAGATTAGAGAATTTTTTAACTTTATGATTAAACTGTATGGTCGGCTTTTAATTTACAAATTTTTTATCTAAATTCTTTGTTGTAAATTCTTTTAATTTCAATTCATTTGACAATAATAAGAGTTTTCTTTTACTGTTTCTTTTATATTGTTTAAATTATGTTGGGTTTTGAAGCAAAAGTATAAATGCACAAAAAGAGTAAACTTTTCAAGAATACGAATGTGATTTTCAAATGCATTATTTACAGTTGTTTAGAAATGACAGACCCAAGCAAAAGTTGGAAAACAGTCTGATCATGAAAACTAGTCACTAAGAGATCCTAATATGACCAAATAGGAAGGGATGAAAGTAGTTTGCTCGATATTCTTAATGAAATAGAATAATGTGCAACTAACACGTAATTAATACTAATAACGAAATGATATTAAAATTGCCCATATTACATTCATAATTATTTCAAATAACGTAAATTGACGTTTCATGAACTAAGTATATGCTGGTAAAGCAATAAGCAAAAAAGTTCAGTTAATTTTAAGAAGTTTCTAATTGTACTTGGGCCATTTCCGCAATCCAAGAGTGAAGATATTTCATAATACGGCACAGCAAAGAACAAATCAGATCTAGATATTTGACGATTTGGACAACAACAATAAAACTGTCAAAAACATTTTAATGTTTAGATTAGATTTTCTTCGTAAATCGTTAATGAATTCGTTTGGCTAATTTTTTTTTCCTTTTTTTTTTGAATCAAATTTAACATTAAATGAAATTGTAGAAATTGGTTTTGTGGCCAGAAGTTTCTAAATATAATGCAGATTTTTTGATATATCACTTGCGAAATATCATTTGGATTTATGAGATTTTCTTTTTTTTTTTTTTTCATATATCATTTTGTTTAGTATTGAATAATATCAAATTGTTGTCTGAAACTTTTTTTTTAATTATTATTGTGTTTTCTTGTACATATATAAGTATTCACGTACTTTATTTAATTGATTATTTCGTCGATTTTCTCTCCTCGTTCGCATTTTAGTTAGAAATTGTTTAATAGTGTCAATATTTTGTTTACAATCAGGAATCTGAGTTTTCAGAATGAAAGATGCTGGCGAGCTTATAGTAAGCAATGATAGTTCTACAAATTTTAGCTACGATTACTATGAAGTTAGCACTTTCTTTAATTTAATAAACTATAATTGTTGAATATCAACTTAAGTGGTGATCTTTTTTATCATATCAAAGTTAATCCAATAGTATTATTTATTGTTGTTAACAATTAATTATCTCAAGTGACAGAGGATTTTTCTTTTTTAAGATGTGATATACTTTAATGAAATTTTTATCCAAAGGTTGCAAATAGAAAATGCAAAGACTTGTGATAAATGAATGATGTGAAATAATAAGTAGCCGAGATTTAGAAAGATGTTAAATATATTTAAAATTAGAACAAAGAGAACAAGAAACAAATGATGAATAGAAAATATTTAAATAAACAAATGTTCGTTCTAGGATTAATGCTGAAATGCGGAATGAACCATAACACTAAAAATTTCGTCAACAAACGATGGTCTATTGACTAATTATCCTTATATTAGTTACATTCTAAGTTATATGCAATATTTATTTGCAAAGAGAACTTAGAAGGCAAGAAAAAGAATTGTATTTTTTGAGATAAGAAAAGCTTAGATCGCAAGGCAACAGAAACTTTAATGAGTTTCTGAAATCGAAAGAGAAAGTTGATTTGCAGTGGAAAACAGACCTTATTCAAAAGAATTGTGAATCCAAAGCTTTGATGAAGCTAATTGTTATGCTTTCAATGAGATGGAAGGCGGTTGAAACAAAAGGGCCGGAACGGATAAATTAACTGGTATTGTATTCAAACACAGCGATGTAAAAATTAGTGAAATATTCAAAAAATAAAGGATTCAAAATTAATCGAATTTTTGCAAGTTGTCAAATTTTTCTCCTCAACTGTTTCCAAAAGAAACAAAAAGTGAAACAAAAAATAAATTTTTTTAAACTTGTCAATTTTTCTAGTACTACTTATAGGAATCTACAGACCTTAGAAAATTTTGTGGGTAAATATTTTAGAGATTTATAATTAATCTAGATTTATGAAGACTTGTAATGAATTCCTTACAATCTAGACGTATGTTTTTTCTTTGTGTTTCTTCAGACAATAAGAATAAATTGAAAATGATGTTTATTGGCTTTCCGACTTTGTCGGATTATGCAAAGTGAAGGAACACAATGAATATGGATTGGTTCTAAAATATGTTTCAGCACGAGCACTTTCATTTCAAATTATTCGAAATAGTCCGATAATTCATTCCATTTTGTGATAGAAAAATCACAAATTGAAATGAAGCCATAAACAACACCTAATTTTTTCGTTTTGTTTTAAACAAAAAAAATTTATTTATGGAAAGCGTTATTATTTCAAAAAAACCAAACATTTTAATGTGTAACGGATAAAATTGAATTCATTGCTTGAAGAATTTAAATAATTTGTCACAATGAATTTTTTTACAACAGATTTCATAACCTATGAAAAATACTAAAAGAATAGAGAAACAGAATCCGAAATAGAGAAAATGTAAATAAAGAAATAAAAACTAATTTAAAATCTTTTTAAATCTATCCTTTTTCTTTCATTTCATTAAAATCAGTGCATGATTTTGTAATAAAAAGCTGCAGTTGCTTCCAGAACAAATGATGTTGAAAAAAGAAAATCAATAAAAACTTGCGGAAAGATAAGAAAGTTTAATAACGTAATTTCATTGCAGTACTTAGATGAACAAGATTTTTTGGCAAACGATCCAATTGTGAGGAATGTCGCCGCGGTGACATTACTTATTTACTTCATTGCTGCTATTGTTGGCATTCCAGCAAACATCTATGTGCTGATTCGAATGAAAAAGCTAGCAAAGTAATCTCTCAGCACTTCTATTCTATCAACTGCATAAAGTAATTTTAAAACAATCTGATGTGTTTTAATGTAATGCAAATCTGTTTGTTTAAAGTCTAGAAATTTGATATACTTGTTGAATTTTGCAGCAGACTGCTATGTCCGCGAAGTTTCTTTAATTATGCTAACTAATTTACAACTTAGTTATGCTAATTAATTTTATAGCAAAAACAACAAATAGTCGAAGAAATCAAGCGATTTTAAACAAATATGCTCATATCATTTCAGGAATGATAGCGAAAGATATCGTAGTGGTACCGGTATAGCGCTCTGCTCAATGGCAGCTGCTGATCTTTGTTCTTTATTATTGATACTATCGCAGAATCTTATGCAATTATACCCACAACTTGGTAGCGATGAAGTACTTATGCATTATGTTTGTAAGGTATCACAATTGTTTTGCAGTTTTCAATTTAAAGAACTAATCTTTGCATCTCACCGAACACAAATGTCAACATACATCGGTTAGTCGATGGAGTAGCTTTACGAATACTGTTTATTTAGAGATCATAGTTATAATGTGTGATAGAAACAGTAAGGCCTTTGCTGAAAATAAACATTTAAATAACTGAATAGTCGGTAACTGGAAGAAGCAAAGCTGACTCTTCGGCTTTTACCCATAGTAAAATACAAATCCTTTCCCATATACCTGCATTGAACAGGCATTATGTTAAGGAGTTATAGGCGACGGATAAGCATACGAAAAAAGCAAAATATCGTTTGTTGTTTTAGATATCCCTGAAATTCATTAATGTCATATAACAACAAACAAAAAGCTAGAAGAATGGGTTTTATTACTTCAGGGATAGTGATGGGTTCAGTAAATGATAAGTTACTAAGTTTTCTCCTACTTTCTGAATCATCTTCTTTCTTCTTCATAATCAGAAACGTTAAGTCTTTCCCTTTGCTTCATTTTACTACAAATTTTTATTTTGGACATCGAAACTGACAACAAAGCTGTAATCATCTCGATTAGTTGCAGCGTTAAAACATTTCTGCGATGATTCCGATCGAATATTTTGAGATAAAAGATTTTGATTTTGAGATAAAAGTTGGAAGAAACAGAGAGGAAAAGAAATCAACAAAAGAAAAGATCTGGGACGAATTAATTAAAATGAAAGAAATACTTTACATCGACAACAACTTGTTCAGACAAATATCGAATAGAATTTAAAATGGAAATTGATGAAATTATTGAGCGCTTGTTCAAGACTTAATGCAATTACCTACTGACTTATCATATGTGAAAAAAATTGAAGTTCAGGCAAATAGAAAAGTTATAGATAAGTTTTTGTGCAAAATAAATAATGAACGTCAATCAGTCCATTCTTGTGGAAATGCTGGTTGGCAATCGGGCTAGTATTACCAATGAACTGGTTCTACAGGGTAAGATGTGTTCGAAGAGGATCATAGCTCAATGAAACTTTTTTTGGAATACAACGATAGCATTAAATTATATTTTATGTGCCAGACTTCACTAGAACAAAGCGGTAGTAAAGAAAGTTGAGGAATAGAACAACGCTGATTATCTTTAATTTTTTGCTCTGCTCTAAGCTGTCAATGACATTTAGAAGAGCCAAACTAAATAAGGAATAGTGATTCATAATAATGAAAACATTACGATTCAGAGAAAATGTAGTTCTGATTCGAAAAAGCTCAGAAAAAATAGTCCGAATAAATTGGCGAAGTGAATGGGAGAAAGTTGGGCTGGAAATCGAAGACTCAGCAAAATTGTCCTGTTTTTCAGATTACTGTAGATGATAAAGAATTGGCAAAAAGTGAAAATCTTATTTATTTGGAAAAGTTAGTGTAAAGTAAAAGTAGGTGAGGCATAAGTGGTTCTGATGGTTAGAGAAAGATGCAAAGCAAACAGAATAAATTCATTTTCCCATTTTATAGGTTAAGTCATGGACGTTAAAATGAATTTAAAATAAGGGAAAGTTAGGATGGATATGTTACACTGTTGGTGTGGAGGGATTATACATGTCATCGAATGCTATCCCGATAAAAGGAGAAGAATATCTCTAATCTGTGCGGGATGAAATGTTTTTTCCAATCTTAGTAAAAAATTTAATATTTGAAGTAAAAATTGAAAATTAATCAAAATCTTACTACACGTCTCATTTTTCAGCTTCGTTGTTAATTAATCTAATTCGTTCCAGGTCATCCTCCTACAAATTTTTTATTTGTGCATAAAATTTGTACTCGAACCCTATAGCATATAGCATTGATTCATTACTACAGTCGATCAATGTTAGATCGTTCTATGTTTAAATAAACAAGCAGATCATGCAAACATTATGGCTGGTAGATTAAAGATATAATATAATTATATGGTTTGAGCTAATAAAGTATTAGTAAAGTTGAATAAATGATATTCATTCAAGCCTTAATTGTTTTCTGACTTTTGTCAATTATTTGCTTATATATCAGATGAAAAGTGTTTTTTCTTCATTCTAGCAGTTTTACTCTGTCTTTGTTTATTTAAGGATTTTTCAATAAATATGGATTGCAGGCGGTATTATTTTTAACGCATACAGTAACGGGTATTTCTGTTTGGTCATGGCTTTTGCTTTCAACACTTCGTTACCTCGCTATAAGGCACCCACTCTTCCATCTTCAACTGTGGCAAATGCCATATCGAGCTTTATCATTCATCATAGTCAGTTTTATTATTTACACAGTTTTGTTGAGATGGAAACGATGATCAAAGGCCCTTCCCATCGTTCTTCTCATCTTCTCTACTATTTCTGCAGAGTAATTTCATGAAATGATCGATACACGAAAGAGTGGAGGAATATTTATCTAGTTGATCCATTTTTTTACCATATCAGAAAACAGTAGAGTTGAATGCTACTATAATAAATGAATATGTTGAAGATAGTATCATTGGCGCTGAATGCCTGGCTTCTATTGGCAGTTCATTCCACTCAGTTCGGTTGCATTCAACAAGCGCTCTTTCGATCACTTACTTGGAATCGGCTGTTTCATATCGTTGAATGTGCTTGGTCATTTTGTGTCCCTTGCTTGCTTATTTTTGTTATGGATATTTCTGTACTCATCAAGAGCACGTGAGTTGTTTTATTGATGCATAAAACAACAAATAATCATACAATATGTTTCAAATAGATTATCCTAAATCCAAAACTGATATTGAGTTTAAATAACTAATTTTGTTTTATCTTGAAATTGAAAAGTCAAAAAATAAAAACTAAATTCAAATCTTCATTAGTTTAGACTGCAAGCGCTATCCTTCTGCAACTAAATCCTATAAAGTTAGACTTTAAAAATTTATAACTGTATTTCCTGATTGATTTTAATTAAAGCAACGAAATTGTAATTCTTGGCAAAGTAAAGGCTAACAAAATTAGCATTTGACTTTTTCACTAAGTCCACATATCCAATAATTGCAGGATGGGATCGTGCGATACTGGCTTACTGCAAATATTTTCAGCACAAAAAAGATCTGAGCAAACTTTTGAGCCTCCAATTATCGCTTGCGTATATTCCAGAAGCAACCAGACACTCATTCGAGTGAATTTAACTATGTTTATTTATTTTAAAAAATGAGGAAATAATATTGTCCTCAATCATTAAGAAAAAGAATTAAGAAAGTAGAATTCAGTGGGTTAGCAAAGTCAAGTAGTTATTTTGCTTCCATTACGGGAAAGCATGTATTACCAGGTGTTTTCCATAGAAAAATAATCGGCTAAATCATATGAAAGTAATGAGCATGCATTAATCAATGGAACAAATTAGCAATATTGAATTTTCAAAAAGAAACAGGGGTGAGAATAAATAATCCGGTAATTTTGCAAACTTTGCAGCATAAGCATAGCCGCACATTGTGGAGATGGTTAGCAATTGCACTGATTTGCATAATATTGAACACACCGGAGAACATGTATCGATTGGTGATATTGTTCGGAATGCCCGATGTTCATGAAGAAGCGCTTCACTTTTCAGCACGAATGCTTGCACAAGCGCTCTATTTCAGGTGTTGCATGAAATTTCTATATAAATTAATTCATAACTACCTCAGGACGTTTTCCGCTCTAAAGATTGAGGAACTGTCCAATTATTAACTAGCAGTTATTCTTAGTTTTCCTGAAAAGAATTAAATTCATGAATGTAGTATCATATTTTGAAATACAAAAATTTAATAAAAAATCGAAATAAAGTAAAACATCTACTGAATAGTTCTTGCTGCCAATTTGCAAATTGTTCCGCCCTTCTGCTAGAAGTAGATTGTCTCTGGCATGTCATTTCTGTTCCACTCTTCAGATTCATGCATTTTCAGGAAATAATATCTGTGCAATGATTCCTCCCAATTCCATAACGGGATTGCTAACTCTTTAGTTTTTTACATGAAACCTTGGAAAAGAAGGAAAATAACAGTCCTATAAACAATAAATATAAAATCTTGCTTTAAAAGCTGATTCCGCAATAATGTTCCTATTTTTAATTTCCACATATTCACTTTCACATTTTTTCCCACTGATTCCACCGCTAATCATTTTCTCTATCAAAGATATGCAATCTGTTTTGAATGTATATCTAAAACACAACAAATAAATTACTTAAGTTTAGGTGGAATCTTTAAATTAATTAAGAACCATGAAACTCTGCAATATGTAAATGTATTATTAATTTCAGCCAATTTGCATTTAATGCTGTGTATTTGGCACTGTTTGTGTTTGACAAATCAACCAGACCGAAATCATATTTCGAGCATTCCGCCGGTAGAAATTCAATGCCTGCAGTCCAATTATGTCAGCGGTTGCCTATCTCAGATCATCAAAATAGAGAATGCCTTTAAACAAGTAGCAAGCTTGTGGAATAACTCTTCCTTGTTCATTCTTATATTCCAACTTCCTGAATTCATCAAACAACTGGATTGCTTATATTTATATGAATTCCAGAAGTCCAAATTTACCTAGCATCTGAAGCAAACTTTTTTTAAAACATATTTTGTTTTTCAGTAATTTTCTACATGAATCAAAATTGTCTTTTTCCAGCAAAATATGGCAAAGAATATTCCGAAAAAGTAAATGGCCTCACAGCCGTTTAACAAAGTAAAGAAGAAAACACTGTAAAGCAAGTCCTACTATAACTTTTTGTCATTGATAACACAACCATAATTCGTCCGTGTCATGAATTGTTCGCTTCTTAAATTTACTGTAAAATAATGTGGTTAATCTCTCTCACTTTTCATTCCTTTGCATTTGTTTCGTTTAAACTTAAAGCTACACATTTTGTGAGTGGTAGACTTTTGACTCTCTTTAAACTAACAAAATATTAGTAAGATGCAAAGGTAATACCAAATTATTTTGAAAAAACATTGTTTTCATTTTAACAGGAGTAATAGATGAATTCTTAAATTGAAAGAATCCATAATCAATGCATCTTTCATTTTTTTTATACTAAAAAGATGAAAAATTTTGAAACTTAAGTCTGAAAAGGAAATCTTTCAAAGCAACTTCCTTAATCATAACATTTGTCATGCTATTACAAATTTAACAAAAATCTTGACGAATTTTCATTGATGTAACTATTGTAATGTTTCCTCCACATTAAATATAGAATATTCTTGATTTCTGCTTTTAAAAATTTTAGTCCATCTGCAGCTATCGCCAGAAGCTACCACCTGAGCAAAAGTGACAAGACAAGGAGAAAAAGGCGATTATTACCCTAATTGCATTGCGTTAATTTTTAATAATAAAATGTTAATGCAAATTTTAACTACATTCAAATCTTTAGTAATTATGCAAAAAAATAATCAATATAAACTAATCAAAGAATTGTTGGTCAATCATTTCTAGTACTTTTAAAATACGAATCGGACTCTCATTCAAGTGAAATAGGGCTCTTCAATCAATTCCAAGAAAAAAGCCAAATGAAGTGCTATCATCTCGTTTCATATTTGATGCCAGAATAAACATTTCAACACAGATGTTACGTCAAGAAGAATGCCGTGTATCATTTATTGTTACCCATGGACCACACTCAATAGAATTGTAAGTCTCAAGGTTCTAATTTTCTCTTCATTTACAAATGATGGTTGCTTATCATGCTAATATTCACCAACTTTCTACTTTTAGATAATGTTAAAGACTTCTGAAGGTTTCCGAAAAAATATTGATGCAGTCACAACTTCCTCAGACTCGAAAATTATTCATTTTAATATTAATTTAGAATAGAAACTTTTTTCTTTTCAAAGAAACAAATGAATAAAACATGGGCAATCGTCGTTCCAGGATGTTGTAAATTCTCAATGTCAATTCAGTAATTATGAACTGAATCATATAATGAAATTTCACACAATTTGAAATGTTTTGTTCTCTCTCAAGTTACATCTTACAAATGCAAATATTTCCAGTAAACTTAAAATCAGTGTATCGAATTTTCGTCGAGAAAATCCAGAATTATTAGTGAATTGTCGAAGTGAACTGGGTAAACAAATTTCTGGATTATGCTTCGGTGCTTCAAAAGATACTGATAATACAGTAGCTGCAAGGAATGTCGGAAAACCGGAAAGTTTTTATTACACAACAAGTGTTTAGAATAATACTAATGATTCATCACTACAAACCACTTCATTATTCCTTTGTTATATCCCATTTTTTTTTTGAAACAATGAATCCTTTATCTAAACCTCAAATAGTAAATGTACATCTGTCTTCACTGTAAATGTTAATCTGCTAAGCCAACCCAGCCCACTTTCTACATCCTTAAAAGCCTTCTTTAATCTGATAACAACAACGAAACGATCGGTGCAGTCTTCTCTTCCTCCTACTCACTCAACAGTACCACTTACTCCTTTGCTGTTTCAATTACTCCACTATATATTTGTCGGTTGATCTCGCTTGCAGATAAGAAGCAAAAGCTTCAGTTCAAGTTCTACAAACTTCACGTAAGTCAAGTGAACTTAACTAACCTAATTCGTCTACTCTGATCAGAGAGTGACTTCAAATTCACGACAGAGTATGATTTGAAATTTTTAATTCATTTAGATTTAATACTTTAGTTTATACATAGAGTATAATCGAGTAAACGAAGAAAAATCTACAGCACTCCTACTGTAAATTTTGCTCGATAAACAAGACTTGTTTCTTGGATGTTCAAGGATGTCTTCTGTTGTTTACTATAAATTTATTTCATCCATTAATACTTTTATTAATGATCTTAGACAGGATCTCTTAAATGAAGTCTTCTCATTCTCTTCCCCAGTTCACCCAAGCATTATTTGTCATCTCATCTTGGAGTAAAAAACGAATATCAATTCCAAAATTTTCACAAATTCGTTTCAAATTAGATGAATTCTGTATGGAAACATCTTATTGATCGCAAGGTGTAATACTTGCGAAAAGTCTGGTTATTCGAGATTGAAAAATGAACTAAGAATTAAATGGTCAATAATATTGCTTAATGGAAGTAAAGTTCTAGAAAACATATTAGGGAAGCCTTATTAACTGAGCACATCTAATTTTTGCAGCAATACTGAGTGAAATGCAGGAAACGGATTTCGAAAACACTTTATCATGCGTGTTATTGATCCATTTTCGGAATCACTGCACAATACTATTATGTCAGCGGGATACGGAAATAGTTTAATCGGTTTCAGCGTTCCTAATATTAGGATAGTGATTAAATGTTTCTCCGGACTGTTGAAATACATTGAATGATTGTTTTTAATTAAGTCTACTATTATTTGCAAAGATTTCGTAGTATTTGGTATAAATACATATTCTATAATGTATTCAAAATGCATGCTTTATATGAGTACCAAATATTTTCACCACTTAATGAAAATCCAGCTGTTAATTATGCAACATTAAATTATCCCATAATGTTAGTAGGCTATGCCAGTCAGAATTAGATGACAAGTCACTTAAATCAATGAAAAATCATGAAAGTTAATTAGAAAGATAAGTTAACTGCTTAACAACATATATTGTTAATTATAAACTATACGAATCAGATAATTACTAATTTATCGAATTCTTTTGCAAATATTATTTCCTGATATCAATGTTTTAAAGATGATCCAGGCCATTTCTTTAGCAGTGCAAAATCAATGTTATCAGGAATTGCAGAACGATTTTAGAAGCCATTGCAATTGAACTTGAAGCTGCCATTTTCGATGTAAACTAATTTTTTTTTTCCGCATTTTATAATCTTTATTAATTATTGACAAAACAACGTTGTCAATTTTGACTTTTGGAGAACTGGATAAAATTATTCCGTAAAGCATCTAACCACACTTAGTCAGTTGTTTTCTACATTAGTTATGAACAGAGGATAAGATTCAGCTGAAGAAGTGAGAGGAAGAAAGCGAATTAGTTTCATATTTAATCGTAATTTCCTAATTAAGAATAAATATAAAGTTGGTGAGGGAAGCATGCTCGTCGAATTGGTTGTACTGTTATTAAAGTAATTTGTTAATTTACAACATAATGAGTAATATGCTTTCAAAAATTCTACAGACTTCTCAAATCATGATTTTGATAACAATTAGCACAAAATGATTCGTATAAAATAATATCGAAGAAAAAAAAGAAGTTGCAGAATGGAAATAAATAGACTTAGACGATCTAGTACGAATACTAACATTATCGAAATATTGGGAATTGGAAGAATTGAAAATTGCAGATCTGTGATCATTGACCTTCATAACAAACAGTTTCAGTAAGAAATGCTTGTATGTGTAAATTCTACTGTGCTAAAATTGTTGGGAATTTTTTCCTCGTTTGCATGGATTAGAAAGGAAAATGCATTCATTTTGTAAGCATAATTTGGAGATCGGTTAAGAAACCTGCATGGTAAGAGAGAGAGAAACGTGTTCCATCCAGGAAATTCAACGCAAGATTACTGCCACTTTCTTTGTGTTACTTATTCTGCAAAGTAGCTCCATTCTCCTGTGACAATTAAATATCCTTTATATCAAAAAAACGTAATTATCTTGCTCTAGTATTTCAATATGACCTGGCTAATAATATTATCCACCAGTACAAGTCTTACAACGGAATTCATATATACAGTTATTGCACCTCTAATCCTCAAAGTTTTGCTGCAAAATTAAAACAGGACATGCTAACTAAGGAATCTCTTAATTAAAATATAACAATTATTTATGAGGAACGTAAAAATGTTTTATAAATTCTTAAAGATACGATAAAATTGAACAGAATAGGAATAATTTTTACAGGGAAGAGTACAGTGAGCACTCAACAGGTGTGCGATGTGCAGTATACCGGGATCTCATATTATGCGACACGCTGGATGAAATATGTAAGCCAGTAGATTCCTCAGAATAATAAATAGTGGACCACAAACGTAAAACATTTTTTCTACAGTTTTATCCCGGAGCTTATCTTCTTGTATTATTATCCGTGTACTTCCGGTTCACAACAATCTCATCCCATCATCGAAATTTTAATATTAAACTTTAGAACAAATTTAAACCTTACTACACAGCATATTTTTCGATCAGATGTCTCGAGTTATTGTTCATCCAGCCATCCTTATTTTCAACTGACATTCAAATACGCGGAAAGCGGGAGAGATAATATGGCCACTTTCATCCAATACGCATTGCGGAAAACACAATACTGCTATGAGAATGTTATTTGTCGGGAGATTTTAGCAATGCAATGACACAATAGCCATTCAATAGAAGACAAAATAGAAAGATAAGAATGCCAGAAAATATGACTTTATGTGAGTGAAATATTTATATATATAAGGGAAAATGACATGAAATGAAATATAAAGGGAATGAAAAGCATTCATTGAGAATTCATTAATATGATTCTAGAGATATGTAACTCCTTCAAACAATTCTAAACAGCGATGGCTCAGAAGTAACTTAAATAACTTCATCTTTGCGATCACAAAGTTCCCAGAATTAAATCAGGCATCGACACTGTAAATGAAACTCTAAAGAACAGAAGGAAGAAATGTTTGGTTTATATAATATCAAGAAATTGATCGATCTGGGGGAGAAACCAACTATGATAGTATAATGTACTATTCAAATTATAAATTAACATCTTATTGTTAATTTAATAA